GTCCACTTCTCTGATGATTTACTCAGCCTATGGGTTCAGTAAGTATGGTGAGAGGCTACAACCCCGACACACGCCTTTCCCGATTTTCAACCATGCAGTTTTCCCTGGTTCTATTCAAACTTGGTGCATGCATAGACCGTGCATCGACACCATTCAGTGTCCTGGAATTCCCATTCTTCACAATTTTATCCTTAATTTGTTGTGACCACACAGTCCATTGCCTTTTCATAGTTAATAAAGCACAAGTAAACATCTTTCTGGTGTTTCCTGCGTTCAGCCAAGTTCCACCTGACATCAGCAATGTGCCCCTTTCCACGTCCTTTTCTGAATCCAGTTTGAATTGCAGGCAATAGACGCGAGTAAGAGCCTTACATTTAAGATGTAGCTCAACCTTTGACCACTAGAGGTCTCATGGAAAGCAATGACCCGTATAACCCGGTTTAGCCTCTTTTCAAACCAATAGACTTGTTGCTGTAAGGCTTGGTGAGCCCGCTCTGCTGGAGGCCGCCCTATTAATAACGCTACCACCCAGCTCCCCATGATGGCGCCATGCCTGGAGGAGGAGAGAACCAGGCGGTGGCTAACCCTGAGATCGTACTGACTTTCTAGACCACGAATCAGTCTGCAGACTCTAGGACTGCCCCTTGGCACCCCACTGCTGGACTCATGGAGAAGGGTAGAGCCCCCATAGCCCAAGGTCCCCGGGTGGGTAGGGCAGCGCCCACGGAGTTTCAACTACTGATGGACTTGGCTAAGGGGCCAATGTACAAAACCATCGGGCGTCATGTCCACCAACAGTCTCGACACCCTCTCTACCTCCCCCTTTTGCTCCCACTCATTGACCCCCCTCCCAGCATCCTGTTTTGCCCCCCGGATCTCCCGAGCCAGTACGAGTTTAACGGGTGGCTGAATGTTCAGGGGCCATCCACCGTGCCTGTTCTGATCCAGGCGATATTTTCTGAAAAATTAGCAGCTTCTAGCCAGGGGAGGCGAGGACCAGGGAGGGGGAAGGCGGCTGGTAGAGGAGTCCCGGGAGGAGGAGGGAGAGGGGGAGGGGGCTAAGCCCAGAAAAAGCCAGGTTGAATTCCCAGTCTTTATCAAGCAATTCGCTCACCAATGAAAGAACTGCAGTGGCAGACTCGGCCACACGCGGTAGTGTGTAGCAATTAGTAGATAAAATGCTGACTAAAGTGCTAAAACATGAAGTATTATTGTAGCCAAGGTCAAAAATGCTTCAGTTGTCTTTTGCAATTTGGGGGAGGGGTGTGCAGAGGAGGTTTGCAATTTTTGAAATGATCGCCTTCTTTCTTCAAACTGTACTTTTAAATTAATTAATTAATTTTATGATCCTGTTTATTACAGTCCAAGCTGCCTAATTATGTCACTGCTGGTTTTTGCCACTAACTTAATCCGCTTGATCCTTTATGAATCGATTCACAGACACTGAGCAATGTGTCTACTGCCTCCCCCAACCCCTTGAGGGGTGAGGTTGATTTCTAAAAAACATTACCTTTTAAATAAACCAGGTCTCTTAAAACAGCTAGATCTTTGGCTAGCAATATAGCAGGCATATAGATGTGTGCGTATAGATTCTTGTATTTCTGTACAAGAAACCATCTAGAAACAGTGGCTCCTGTAAACATAGACTGCCTCCCCCCCCACCCCCGCCAATCCTCTTTTATACACAGCAAGTTGAAGCTACAAGCTTAAAAAAAAGAAGATAAATAAAGCCGTTGCTTTCATGATTATAACTGTCCTGAATGGATTGTCTTCTTACAACATTCAATCTGTTTATTAGTATTTACTTTACATTAGCCCAGGGACCCTGCACTGCAGGAGTTTGCCTCTATTCCCCTGGGTGTCGGTGTCTCTAGGCTTACATCTGCTCTGTGATTGATGGAGCCTTGAATCCACGTTATTACTCTCTCACAAGCAGAAATCAAACAGGCTATTAACTACATTACTTCAAAGAACTGTTTCAATACAATCTCCTTATCTTAATTGAAACTTTCTTTGTATGGATATTTGCTACACAGATAATTTACAGGTGCTTACCAAGCATTACATTAAAGAAGAGGTAAAATAGATTTCTTTCTTTTTTTTTTTTGGTAAACACATACCCTTGTTATCTGTAATTTTAAAAGCCATTCACAAGATTGGACTAGAGGTTTGATTTATTAGATTTATTATGGTCATAGGGGCAGTGGTAAAAATAAGAAGGGTAGACACCCCTGTGGTACAGTTTTGAAATTTAACATTCATCTGATGACAAGACTGCAGGTATTCGGAAATATTCAGACTTAGATCCCTGCAATTGTTAACATCTCAAACCTTAGGTGGGGGGTGGGGTGGGAGGGTGGAAGAGTGGTTTTAGGGAGAGTTAGGAGAAGAGAGATTACCCCCAGAATGCTGGCGATTTCAACACTTACCTTTAAAAGAAACAGAAAGAGGGTTTCTAATTAGATGAGGTCCCTTATAGACATTTAATAGACTTATGGCACCCAAGATAGCTCACGGTGCTTAGATGTTACAAAGAGCTGTATATTTTTAAAGAGATTTAATATACAACTGAGGGATACCCTCAGGCATTCTGTTGAGGTTTCCTGCATAAATGCTGCTGCATTGGCCATACAGGAAACTGACTCAGAGTCGATCTCAAATATGATCTTGTCAAAATACTGAAACTTTAAGTTTTGTAAGATAGGATTTCTTGAACTGGATGTATACATTTACACTAATAGGACAGAGACTAACAGAGCCTCTGGCAGCACTCTTTTAAAAATTTTTAAAATGCCTTTCTGTCAAGTCCATTCATATGTAAAAAATGAAAAAAATGGGTTATTCTAATCAAATGTCTGCAGTATGCATCATAAAGTTAAAGAGAGAGAAAGAGAGAGAGCTGTAATTTCTCTTTGTAACCCATGTTTATAAAATAGAAAGATCAGATGAAATTTCAAGGCAGATAATTAAAGAGTGATGTGCAAGTCATAATTTGGCTAATGCAAAAGATGGAGACTGCGAATTGTTATATTGTCTTCCTCAATGGTGTAGAGTTGTGATATTACTTTAAATTATTAAAATAGTTTTCGACAGCTTTCACAATACCGACTCTTTGGCATGAGCTTTTATTACTTATTGTAATTGGAGGATCTGCCATTTTCTTTCGTTTATCTCTGTGTGTATAGAAACGAGATAGATCTTGCCTTTTATTACTTCCCCATGTTCTGAATCAAAAAAATGTGGTTTAGATGATGTTTAAGTGCCCTAATTCTTACTGCAGCGGACGCAGACGTTATGAAAAGGCATAAAAATACACACAGAGGGTCTTTCCACCTCAAGTCACTGAATATGAGGCATTTGTGCTCTGCCGGGTGTATTAACTTCAGCCATGTGAATATAATTTTCATTAAAGTAATCCTGTTTCAACTAGATGCTGTGACTAGAGGTGAAACGTTGCGAAAGCGTTAAAAATAGCTTACTAGTAATTTCAACATCCTGTAATTTTATCACAGATCAAGTTTCAACTGTCATACTATACAGACCTTATTTCCCATATATTACATGTTTACTTTTTTAGCATGCCAGACCCACTTTGGAAAGATTGGTGCCAATATAATAAAATCCGGTGGTGGGGGGGGGGCTGCTGGAAGAAGTGGGAGGAGAGCGGGGAAGGGGGTGGGGGAGCGTGGGGAAGCTAGTACACCATTTTACATCAACACTGCGAAAATGCAATCTCGCCTGCCTGGCGGAGGACCGGCAGCTGGGTCGGAGCAAGCGAGGGCTTTGCAGTCTCTGCCTGTTCCTTGTTCTGTCGCTCTTAAGTTTCTCTGTGTTTGCATAATAGCCGTGCATGCAAACCTCGCAATGCTCCAGGGCTCCAGAACAATAAATATACACATTTAAAGCCTTTATTGTCTTACGGTTCATGCCCCCGGTTTTCAACAGCTTAATTTCTGGTTGTATTTAACTAGTTTGCAAATGGATTTTTTCAGTTTCAAACTATTATTGAGGAAGCTCCCCTCCCTCTTTTTTTTTGGCGGGGTGGGGGTGGGGTAAGAGTCAGTATATTATTCCTGTAGCGCTGGGTTATATAAACACATTATCATTTGAGAGCGCCCTTGGCGTCCATCAGCATTGTAAACACGTACTAGTGTATATACTTCAAAATTAAAGAATGCACACTCAGAACTGGGAGCCTGAATTCATATTCCGAGCAGACTCACTGCTCGCATTTATTGATTTATCATGCATCGTTTATTGTTCCAGTCCCTAAATGCAGTCGCTGTCCGTTCAATATTGTTTGCAAAATCCTGAAATGTGTGTGTACTGCTCACTTGTCTTTCTGTTCCTTTTTTTTGCTGAGTATTTTTTTGCGAAGCGAACAAATGCATTAATATTTATATGTTTATATAATCGATAACCCACTTTTCCCTTCCATGTAAATAGGCATCAAAAGATAATTTAACAGATTAGTTCTCGAAAACATGGCAGTGAGGAAGCGTAATTTAACTATCAAACAAATCTACATGTCTAATAACAGCAAATCTGCTAAGGAGCATTAGAAAGAGGAGCAGCGCCCCGGAATCTCTGCAGGAAATGTTCTTTATATTAGACATATACAAGCAGGTCCTGTCAGATGCACAGCGGAGCTCTCCAGTCCTCGACTCCTCCAAAAATCTCATTAGGCGGCACCTCTAGAATGGGGCGGTTGGGAAGAGGGAGATAGTATCTTCACATAGTTCTAGGGTGGGCTTTGTTTTTTCAAATCTCCTTATATGTTTTTTGCCTTGATCGATCAGCTTCCCGCCGACATCAGACAGAGCCTTATTGCCGATTATGAATTTGATCAAGCAACATTCGGAAGGAAATCTTCATAGTTTTGACAGAAGCTGAAATTTGAGTTGTCAGAGAAATATTAGGACATATTTTCAATCATTTTGGTGCTGAAGGGGAGGCAAGAGTTCAGTTTTATATTGAGACATTACGCCCGCTGAGGGCAGAGAATGCTTTTCCCTGCCAGGACCTGATGCAATCCATTCAAGCCAACAAGTTTGGAGAGAATGTTGAGTTCAATCAATTCAGAACGTCGAGATGGAGCCCAACTCACTCCAGGTATTTCGCTCTCCTCCGCTCCTCCGCTCCCGGCACCCCCTGGCACCCCCCGACCCCCCAGCTCACCCACACCTCTGCACCCACCCACACCCCCCACAAACTTTTCACCAAACTTTTACCCTCTGCATCTCCCAAATCATTTTTATTGTTTTTTTAAAAAATCCCTGCACTGATCATACATACATAATGTAATTTTACCGCCTCAAATGGGGAACTGGGGAAGGGGCGGGGGGGCGGCGGCGAGAATTGGAGTTCTTTTTTTTTTTTTTTTTTAAGGGAAACAAAATTTGTGGGTTCGATTATTTTTCCACCCAGCGTTATATCTGTTGGCTGGTGTGTATTAAGAGTGTGGATGTCTTGTGTGTAAGTAACTGTGTCTGGAAATAGATGTATGTGCTCCGATGGCTACATTATTTATTTGGTGCCTTTTTTCCCCCCTGCAGTGGGTCGGCTCACCGTGTGGCTTGCACGGACCTTACATTTTCTACAAGGCTTTTCAATTCCACCTTGAAGGCAAACCAAGAATCTTGTCCCTTGGCGACTTTTTCTTTGTAAGATGTACGCCAAAGGATCCGATTTGCATAGCGGAGCTCCAGCTGTTGTGGGAAGAGAGGACCAGCCGGCAACTTTTATCCAGCTCTAAACTTTATTTCCTCCCAGAAGACACTCCACAGGGCAGAAATAGCGACCATGGCGAGGTGGTAAACCGATCTCTCTCTCTCTTCTTTCTTTATTATTTCCACTCCGCCCCCCCCCGCCCCCCCGCGCCCTAGTAATGCTTATTACAGGGCCAGCTTGAAAATACTGTATTCACTTCTGCAGGCGAGCGAGATCGACTCCTTTTTTAAAGGGGTAGCGCCGCTAGCTGGGGCTCGAGTATTTTGCCATTGTCAGAGTTTGGCTGTCAGCTTTACAAAGCGGATCCAACTGCTGATTTTAGTCAAGATCAAATAACTTGTTCGGGAAGGGTTTTGTTCAAGGATGTGTGTGTGTGTGTGTGTGTGTGTGTGTGTGATCGTTTGCTCTCCTACTGCCACTTGAACATCACATGCTTAATTTTATTATTATTTTTTTGTCTTTTGAAAATTTACCTTCGTGTCTGTCTCGGTCGAGGCTGGGTGGATTTCTTTCGATGGGTTTCGATATTGTTCACTTTTTTTTTTTAAGTAAGTATTTGATATGTTTAAGAGGGCGGAAATTACGAAATGGAGGCAGAGTGAGATCAAAAGCTATTGAGTTGGCAAAGACGTGTTGAATAAAGTGATAAATGACAGGTACTGGAATAATACATTCAAATAACTTGCAGATCTGCCCGGGCGGATTTCAAAGCGGTCGTGTAACCGGCACAAACACGTTAAGCATTAACAACTATCTCTCGCCCCCCCTCCCCCCTCCCACCCCCTCCGAACAAGCCATTTGATGTTCTAGTTTGAAATTACTCCACGCAAAGTGGACGCCTCCCAGCTCGATCTTTGGCGGGGGGAGGGGGGGGGGGAGGCGGGGGAGGGGAGGGCAGAGGGGGGTGTGCTCGCCCACCGGCCCTGCGGGTCCTGCGTTTTCCGTGCCCAGACGGCGCTCCCGGGAGGGCGGGCAGGGACCCAGCCTCCGCCCGGCACGTTTGTGGGCGGCCGCGGGGCGCTCGCCGCGCTCCCGGTAGGACGCCCGAGGTGAGCCCGCTGTCACCGGGCGCCAGGGCGGCCGCCTCGCCCTGGTTCTGTCACTTCACGTGTGACCGCAGTTCGGTGGGCCCCCCTGCCTCGGCTGACCCATCTCAGCGCCGTGCTACCTACGGGGGTGGTCGCGGTGGGGGAACTATTGGGGGGCGCCGGTGCCCGCGGCGCGGCGGGGAGGGCGGGCGCCCAGGCTGCCAGGCAAGGCTTTTGTGTTGCCAAAGCGAGAGCAGGGTAAGCAAATGGAGACTTTTGAGGGCAGCTAACTCTGTGCCAGGCTCCCGAGCTTTCGAGGTAGGTGTGCGGATCGCTTTACGGAATGAATGCCGCTCCGTTTAACTCATCCCGGGGCTCGGAGGTGGCAGCCCGATCCCCAAAGCCTAGGTGTGATGGAGTTGATTGCACTTCGGGCAGCGCCAGTCCTCTCCCTTCTTTCTGCCCACGATCGAATTACCCGTCAGTGGGCTGTGCGGGTTAATTACTGGAGTTCGTCAAAACGTTCGCCCTCGACTCTGCCTCTTCGGAAATAAGCCCCACCCTCCTCCCCGAATAGCAGCCCGCCCCCTCCCCCCACCCCACGCCTTTCCCGAGCAGCTTGGGGTTTTAAACGTTCTTATTTCCCGACATCCGTCTGCAGTTTTACAAAGGTGTTGTTTGGAAATACTGTGAAAAATCCTGCCACCTACCAACAGGTTGAGCTCCTTGCCCCTCCCCAGGTCTCGCTCGGCCCCTCCCCCGACCCAACTTTCCTGCGCAGCTGTCTTCCTCCCCTCCCCCCTTCCTGATTTCTTATTATTTGCTTTTCAAATTTATTACTTCAACATGGCCTGTGATCTGGAAAAGGGAAGGATTAAATATCAAAAAAAAAAAAAATCTGGTGCCTAATGGACTTCTGACTAAAACCCAGAAGGAAATTATTCAATGTTTTCTGGGATATTTTGTGGTCACCTTTTTTTTTTTTTAAACTGAAATTGGAAGATTGTTTAAAGACCCCGAGTTGACCCCACTTGATCTAGTTTTAATTTCAGGTGGTGTAATTAGTGAATTCTGACTTAAGCAGGAAGGCTCTATTAACCAAAGGCTGCATCTGCTAGAACTGCTGGTGGTGAATAGGGATATTTTTAAATACACGATTTCTTTTTAATTGTTCTTTATGGGGAATTGAAAGCGAACCATTGTAATGATCGGTGCATTTCGTCACTGCTATATGAGCCATACCTGAGAAAATTAATCTGGCCATTTAAAAGTAAAGTCTAGGGGATTTGCGGAGGGAGATGGCTCTATTTATAATCCTCAGCTGCATATACATCGTCTAATATTATGCATGATTTGTTTTTTAATGCTAACGGCTGGTAATTAGCTGTATGATTATACTTGTATATTTCATTAGGACTTTGGCTGATGTCATTGTGAATTATTCAGCCATATTAAAACAATTTTCAATTGCGATAATGACACGCCTCAAAATTATGCAAATGCAGGCTGCATTGTGTAAAATAATTATGACAAATGTAAAGCAGGTAGAAAGTTTCCCAATGCAGATCGGTTTTCCACCCTGGTGATGTCATTTCCCCCCTGGCCTCAGTTAGTCATTCATTAGTTGAATAGCAGCGGCAGTCTCCTCTGGAGGAGAGGCTACAGAAACCAGCATTTACTGCCTGCACCTAGAGGGGGCAACGGGCCCTCTCATTAAGAAAATTGCTTTGTTTTCGCTTACTCCATTAACTTGTTTATATACATTGAAATGATTTCTGTTATTGATTTGACATAGTTTTGAATGATGTGCTTGCTGTTTGCAGTGTGGAGCCGACAAAAGAGAAGGATTTCTTGGTGATAGGCACAGTGAATTGGAGAAAATGTTCCGCACATTGAATCTGCCAGTACAGTTTATTTTAAGTAACCAAATGGAGGTTAATCATTTCTTGATTGAGCTGACATCAGCATCCATTTCAAAAGGACAGCCAGGACTCAGAATGCTTTTTTTTCTTTAAGAGAATCATTCTGTCTTTTCTTGATTTCTTGAAATGTAAAGACTTCAATTCTAATAGCAGGAAATTGATAATTGCGTGAGATTAGAAATAGCATCCCTGTGTGATTTTTTTGGTGGGGGAGGCAGGGAGGATGGATGTTTTCTCAATGATCCTTCAGAGAATTCGGGAGGCAGGATAAGGGAAAACTTTACATCTCCATTTTACAGATGGGGACATAGGCTGGCAGAGGTTGTGTGGTTTGTCAAAGGTCACAGAGCTACAACTAAGATCTACAGAAGCTTAAGTTTGTGTGTGGGTGGGTGTGATTCTACTGAAACCTACCCTTCAAACCTGAACTTGAATGCATATCATAGTCTAGAAGCATGAAAGAACATGGGCAGCCCCTTGTACATTTTAGAGCGGTGACAAGTCAGCTCTCTGCCAAAGGTCGCAAGATATTTAGGTAGCAGCAGCATTCTTATTCGATGAAATTCAGCTATTTCTAGCCAGGCAAATAGACAGACCCATAATGCTGTAGTTCAGACATCTATGTTCTTAATAATTCATAGTCATTATTAGTTTTAATTATGATGATAATGACTTGCATCCTTCTACACACGGCAGTCTCCATATACAGCCAGTGCTGGCAGGCAGACTGGGGCTGAGAGAAAGCATTCCAGAGACAACATTTTGATTCTGCAGCTATCGGCTTGCCCTTGGAGCTGCAACACCCTGAGCCTCAGTTTCTGCAGCTGCAAAGTGGGAACTGCAGTACCAGGGACCAGGGCCTGTTGTAAAGATCAGGAGGTATTAATATGACAAAAATGTTCTAGAAACTTTTTTGTTCTAGAACTTGTTCTAGAAAGTCCTCATAGAGAGAGAAAGGCGTTATGATCACTGCCCTTGGTTCTAGATATCCTTAATGTTATACACAATGGCAGAACTTAATAATTTTTATGTCTGTGTGGAGGTTACTGAGCCTAATCATGATACTGTGTCTTAAATAATCATGAACGTGAATAGCAGGGCCATGTGCAGGAAGTTAAGTGTCTTCAGTACTATAATTGCCCACAATTGCCACATTCAGCTAGGAGCTCTTCAGAGCAGGAAAATGGCAAAGTAGGTGGGTAATTGGTTCTGTTACTGGGGAACTTCTGATGACTTTCCATTTTAAATTGCCAAGTGCTTAATTTATTGGCAGTATACCCTCTTAAAATAGGTAGATGTGTTAGCTTGGATTTCAGCAGCACCAGCCATGAGCTGGGTTCTACATAAAAGGTTTGCCTTTACAGAGATGGTCAGAGGGTCAAGATCAAGCATCCTCAGGCACATTCGCATCATCAAAAAGAGGCCAGATGGCGCTGCTGGAGAAGCAGTGCACTGATAACTGCAAGGTGGGTGGTTCAAACCTACCAGCCGCTCCTCAGGAGAGAGATGACATGATCTGCCCACATAAAGATTTACAGCTTTGGAAGCCCTACGGAGGGGTGCTATGCAGCAGAACCGATTTGATGGTAGTGGGTTAGCATCACTGGGACATTTGTAAAGATGCAGATTCTGGGGTACATGTCATAATCAACTCAATCAGAATCTCTTTAGATAGGGCTCAACATCTTTAGTGGTCTTGTGAATATAGGCAAGTTCTAAAATCTCTGTGCCTCACTTTTCTCATCTGTAAAATGGCAGTATAATACCTATATCATGAGGTCAATTTTAGGTTACATTGAGTTACTACCTGTAAAGTGCTTACTTGCTTTAATGTTTAAATGAGTTATTACCTATAAAGTGCTTACAATTGGAATTGGCCCCTACTAATGGCTGGCTATCATTATCATCACAATTAACATCCATGATATTGTTCTCATTGAAATTTGAGACCACTACCAGGGACCTTTACGAAGACAGCTTTTTAGGTTAATTTGCTCGAACACAATTGTCAATCAAAGCCCATCCCTCCACAAAATAGACTAGCACTCGTTCATATGTTGAGTTTGACTGAGTCACCTAAGTGAAAGACTTCTACAGGATTTTCATTTGCAGACTTACAAATACTGTCAA